AACTGCCATATCAGCTTCCATGTCTCATTCAAGTCTTTCTTCATCCAACACTTTAGGTATTGCTTTATCCCTGTGGATATTGGATTCTGGTGCATCTTATCACATGTCACCATATTTGTCATCTTTTGCTTCATTATCATCTCGTACACCTCTCTTTTATGTCTATTAGTGTTACACCTATGTCAGTAGAGAGTGTTGGTTATATTGTCACTCCTTATATATCTTCAACAAATGTCTATTATATTCTCACACTTGTTTTGAATCTTGTTTCGGTCAGTCAGTTGTGTAAGTCTGGTTGTTGGGTCTTCTTTTCTGATTTGTTCTGCTGTGTACATGACATTCGGTCTCGGAGGGTGATTGGGATAGGCCGTAGACTTGGAGAGCTTTATGTTTTAGAGCAACTACATGTTTTTGATGTTATTGCCTCTAGTGTTGATTTATCGACTTTTCTTTTAAGTCCTTCGTCGTTTTTTTTAATATCTTTGACATTCTCGTTTGGGACATGTGTTAGCATCATGTTTATAGTTTTTGGTTTCCACTGGTTTGTTAGATTCTTTGCGAACTGATGATATTTTTGATTGTTGTGGTTGTAAACTGGAAATTTTTTCTGTTTTACCGTTTAATACAAGTGTCATTCGTTTCCATTGATATTGTGCATTCTGATGTGTGGGGCCCAATCCCCGGTTACCTCCAATGATTTTAAACAGTTGTTGGCATATGTTGGTACTGTGCATCAGTTATCATGTATAGACACCCCTCAACAGAATGGTGTTGTAAAAAGAAAACATCGACATCAATAAGAAACTGTAAGATCCTTACTATTCTCTGTTCAAGTTCCCAATATCTTTGGGGGAGAAGCTGTTATTATCGCTACTTACGTTATTAATCGCATTCGTATTGCACACTTCGGGGAAGTCTCCTTATAAAATTTTGTTTGGGCGACTTCTAAATTATTCTTTATTACGAGTGTTTGGGTGTACCTGCTTTGTCATGAAGCCTCATGTAGAGAGATATGTTGTCTTCAAAATCAGTCATTTGTGTATTTTTGGGGTATAATATTGGCCAGAAAGGTTATCGGTGTTATGATTCGTCGAATAAAAAATTGTATGTCTCTCGCAATGTCACTCTTTTTAGAACACATTCCGTTCTATAGCGTTCCTGGTCAGTCACATGATGCAACTCGAGAGGAGTTTCATACTATTAATCCATTTAACATTGATGTTGATGATACACCACTTGCCACTAATCCAACATCTGTTACTGATCCACCACCTGATCTACCATCTGCCGCTGATCAACCACCCGTTGTTGATCCTCTGCTTAGAGCTGATCAGAATCCTCCACCATCGAGGCCTTATCGGAATAATAAGTCTACAAAGCTTTCTGACTTTGTCTATTACTTTTACTTACCAGTCTTTGCCTCACTTATTGTTAATGTACATCGTCTCTCGAAGCCATCATCGTACAAAGAGGTTGTCTATGATCCCCTTTGAGAGACCACTATGGCTGAGGAGCTTGCAATTCTTTATCAGACTCGTACATGGGATCTGGTTCCGTTTTCGCCTAGAAAGCACATGATTGGTTGTCGTTGGGTATATAAAATCAAAACAAAGTCTGATTGATCCGTTGAGCGTTGCCAGACTTGTTGCGAAAGGGCATGCGCAAAAGTATGGTATGAATTATGAGGAAACTTTTGCTCATGTTGCAAAAATGACGATTGTTCGCACATTGATTGCAGTTTCTTCCATTTGCCAATGCAAGATTTATCAGATGGATGTCAAACATGCGTTCTTGAATGGTGATCTTCATGAGGAAGTATACATGTCTCCTCCCTTAGGTATTGCTCACCAACCAGGTGAAGTTTGTCGACTTTGGAAGGCACTATATGGTCTCAAACAAGCCCCTCGTGCTTGGTTTGAGAAATTTTATACGATGATTACTTCGTTTGGTTTTCGACCAAGTAATCATGATTCAACTCTATTTATTCGGTGTACGAGTATAGGTCGGATTATTTTTTCCTTATATGTCGATGACATGATTATTACTTGAAGCGTCCCAAAATTTACAGATAAAAATTTCATTTTTAATTCATTCCAAAATGTCTGATGAACATGTCAAAACATCAAAAGATGCACCATAGTGTAATAAAATCAGAGTACAAATCCCAAAATCATATAATGCGGAAAATACGGGCGGATGCGGTGCGATCAGGGCATACCCTTCCCTTTCGAGTTGGAAGTACCTAAAACATAAACTGAAAACTGTAAGCATATTGCTTAGTGAGCTCCCCCAAAATACCCCATACCATACATATACAACAGTCAAAAACATATTGGGTCTATTTCACCCCCTTCAGTATCTTTCAACCGGTACTGGGTCTATTTCACCCCCTTCGGTATCTTTTAACCGGTACTGGGTCTATTTCACCCCTTCGGTATCTTTCAACCGCTATCGGGTCTATTTCACCCCTACTACTAACACATATAATCATAACAATAAGAGTTACAGAGACATCAACCAGATACAAGCATAACAGATAATTATCACGAAGACAATCATCATACTACAAACATAATCTAGTGGGCCGACATTGGTGCCTTCGACCCACGGATATAGTGAACGAAACTCACCTCAGACTGAAGGTATCAAATCACACTCGAGATGCTAACTCACATAATCCTCTCACTAAATCACAAATAATGAAACCCTAATTAGAAATTAGGTCCATAATCCAATCCATTGGTCTAAACTTTAGTCCTCGCCTTATTGGGCCTAACCCACCAAGGCCCGAATCCATACTGGCCCAAAAGGTATTCCAAGTCCAACAAAAAGGACCCTAAGGCCCAACATAGGCCCGAGAGCTTCATAATGACCTAAAGCCCACAAATGACCTGATACCACAAAAGGGCCCAAGGCCTAAACCCAAATAAGGCAAAAAGCCAACTAATCCCGAGCCTAAGACTCCAAAAGCCTACAGCCAGACCTACGCGCGACGTACCTGGCTCGTACGCCCGACGCACGCAGTTGATCCGAAATCGGGGTGCAAGCCCAGTATGCGCAACGTACTTAAGAGTATGCCCGACGTACTGGTCAGACATCCAAATCTCTCCAAAAGTCTTAACACATTAAGCTCTTGACGTCCAAATTCAGATCTAAGGTCCTTAAAGTGTATTAAGCCATAAAGTTGCCAACTTTATGCTTTTGCATGACTTAATGGGGCTTAAACCATGGATTTAGCCTTCTATCTTCCTTAAGTGGTCACCAACTCATGCATGGTTGAGTTCTAACCCACAAGATCCGATTTTTATGACTTCATGCACCTTTAAGAGCCCAAAAGGATTTCTATCTTCCTTAGGGTTTGCCCCTGGCTTGAGTACGCCCTACGTACGCATGGGTACGCCCAACGTACGTTGGGGTTATCCCGATTCACGCATGCAAAGGGAGTACGTCGTGCGTACCTTGTGTACGCCTAACGTACTCTTGACTAGGGCATGAATCGGGATAACCCCTACGTACGTTGGGCGTACCCATGCGTACGTAGGGCGTACTCAAGCCAGTGGCAAACCCTAATTTTTAGGATTTACACCCTATTTAAGTTCATTAAGTCGTTCAAGTTCATCACCTTATCAGCCCCCATTGTCTTTTTATGCTAAGCTCGAAACCCTAGCCATCTTGAGGGCATTCTTGAGCTTACAAAGAGTTTTTGGGTGTTCTTTTGTGATCTTGAAGAAGAAGAAGACTTGAGGAGAAGCTTTGGACAAGGAGTTTGTAGATCCACATATTGTTTATCATTTCTAGCTCATTGGAGGTATAAAGTCTGAAACTTGTTCATTCTAAGTCTAGATCTAAGTTTGGGGAAGAACTTAGCATATTTTGGTCTCATAACCTTGGTCTCATGGAGTATGGACTACTCCAGACCATTTTAGATGTCCTTTTGGGCTCTTAAAGGTGCATGAAGTCATAAAAATCGGATCTTGTGGGTTAGAACTCAACCATGCATGAGTTGGTGACCACTTAAGGAGTACGTCGTGCGTACCTTGTGTACGCCCAACGTACTCTTGACTAGTCCATGATTAAATGAAATAATTAGTAAGAGTTCTTACGTGGCGACTTAAGTGTTACATTACTGGTGATGATCATGATGGTATAGTCTTTAAAGCATGATTGGCTCACCATTTTGCTATGAAAAACTTGAGCTTGTTGCGTTATTTCTTGGGGATTGAAGTTTCTCAATCTCCAAAGGGTTATCTTTTTTCTCAAACGAAGTATATTTTAGATTTGTTTGAACGTGCACGACTCAAGGATGATCAGACAGTTGATATGCCTATAGAGAGTAATGCAAAGTATTCTCCAACTGATGGTCTCATTATTAGATCCAAGCCTTTATCGTACCATTGTAGAGAGTTTGGTTTACCTCACTGTCACTAGACCAGATATTGCTCATGCAGTTCATGTGGTTAGCCAGTTTGTCACTGCTTATTCTACTGTTCATTGGGGAACCGTTCTTCGTATTTTGAGATATTTTCGTGGTACACAGTTCTGAATCCTTGTGTTTCCATCTACATCATTTTGTATTGTGACAACGAGAGTACGATAATGATTGCCAAAAATTCAATGTTTCATGAGTGCACAAAACACATTGAGATTGATTGTCATTTCACACATCATCTCTAGAAGGGACTATCTCCCTTCTCTATGTTCCTTCTATTTTGCAGATTGCTGATATTCTTACGAAACCATTTACTGCTCTTCGATTTCATTTTCTATTTGACAAACTCTCAATGTTTATTGTTGTTGCATTGTGAGTTTGAAGGGGAATGTTAGCCTAATAAAATTTTGGACTTTATTTTGTATTGGGTTTATGTTGGCCCATTGGCTAGAAAACCTTAATTAGCTAGTCTATAAATTATGTATTTCTCTTCTTTTATATTTGTATCTCCTATTTGATAATAATACGAAACTCTAGCCGTTATATGTATTTTACTTGTTAGTTCACACTTATGCCGAGCAAACAAATAGATGAATTCAATGAGAAGTTGGTGGCTATAGACACCGGTAAGGATTTCTTCATATTTGAGGTACTTACTATTATTATCATATATATATATATATATATATATATATATATATATATATATATATATATTTGTTACGTACATACAATTTCAAAATGCAAAAATCTTTCAAGGATATACGTTGATCGACTTGGCGACAGGCTAGCACGTGAGTAACATACTATGTTTTGGCGTATATATTATTGTGGTTTTCGTTTGGATTTTTTGTCCTTTTTTTTTCATATTTAGGATGCTCAAGTGGATTGACAAAATACATTTGATGGATTTTTGATGACACAATATATCACATAGATGGCTTGTACACTTGGTCGAAATTTATCATTAACTTTTGTTGGTTTGAATTTATCCTTATTTTTTTTTGTTGGTGGGAAAGTATCAAAGAAATGAGTTGATAGCTCATTACTTTGTGCATGTGGGCTGCAAATGGAATCAAAGAAATGACTTAATAAGTGTTTTCAATTTTCTCGGTTTGAAGTTTGATTGGTCATTAGGCTGCTTGGCTATTAATGAGTCTGTTTTCATGGCTTGAAGTCTCGTATAAAAGAAACCGACATTGGAAAAACCGCATCATGCTTTAATGTAATCAAATATGTTTTCACGGTTCCCAAAAAACCTGACCCACCTCATTAAACCGACAATCGGTTTAAAATCGAACCGTTGAACCTGAAACAACATGAGAACACCTCAAAACCGAGCCATTCAAAAACTGCACCTATCGGTTTCTTTAGAATATAGAAACAACAGCCTTATGGTATGCATCCATGACAAAATAATTCGTTTATTTTGTAGGTAAAGTGGGTCTTAGAATCGTTCTACCTGAATTTTACAAAGTATCTTTTCCTGCTCCAGATTGATTGTAAAAAGGTAGTACAGTTACATGTCCAATTATCTTCACTCACGTCTATAATAATTTATGGTAAAATAGTCAATTTGCTACTAGTTAAAACTAACTTGATTTTGATTATTTAATTTTATGTAATCACTTTGATGGAATTAATTGTTTTTGTGAGTTGGACTTGTTTGTTGCAGCTTGGCGATGGATTGATTTATGAAGATGTGGATGGTTCCAACGTGTTTCCACATTTCTATGGCCCATCTCGAAGTTTTGTTCCTCTCACTCTTGACATGGTTGTGAAATCCGAGGGACTAATTTTGTCAAATGGCAAATTTGTTTGTAGCATGTTGAATTAGGAAAGGAAGCTACTTTTAAATATAATGTTTTATTATATATTTTTATAACGTTAACAAAAGTTATTTTACCTACACGTTCTAATGTTTAGTCAAAAATCGTTTTTAAGTCACTTGTGTTTGATCTACAATATAGATATTTTTTTCGTATCTGTTTGTTATCCAACTTTTTATTTTTTTTATTGTTGTCCAAGTGGTTGAAATTGTTTTCCTTGAAATGTGTTGAAAATTTGAATATTTTTATTGAATTTATAATTGTATGTTTAGCAATGTTTGATCAAACTAATTTCTTTAGGTAACAAATAAGTGTAATCAGACTGATTATCATAGTAAAAACAGTTATAATTATGCGATTTTAACTTCAATAACCTTGTTTTGTTAGTAAATAACTAAATATATTAATACAGACTGAGGAATATGCAAAAAAGTCTATATATTTTGGTTCTATTGATACAAAAGTCACGATTTATTTATTTATTTTTGCAATTTAACCATTGAAACGTGTAAACACTTGCAAAATAACCCTTCTAACTGGTTAGTGCCGGTTTTAAAGGTTAAGATGCAATATATATATATATATATATATATATATATATATATATATATATATATATATGAATTTTTCGTTCATAAAATTAAGTTTAAGGATTTTTCTAGAGATATTCTTTTTTTTATATATACTAAATTTATTTGAAGAAAATTTATGTTTATTTATTAAAAAAAGTCAAACATAAAGATATTTTTTTATTAAAAAACACAATAATGATAATTTATATATCATTTTTGGAATTTTTTTGATTCTTTTTAATAAATATCATTACTACAATTATAAAAATACCATCTATATACTATATAACTTATATAACTTAAGAGGAGTTTGTTGATTTGTTACAAGAAGTGCATTTCTAGGTCAAATGCTACTTCATTGTTGAATTTTTAGGTTTTGGGTGAAAAATGTTTACCATAAAACTACAACTTACCGAAGATCCTTTCACAACCGAACGACACATCAGGAAATAAAAGCTTATCAGAGGTTTTTATTATTAAATAGAGCTCCATTATACACAACGTGTGGCCTAGAAATACACTTTTACGACAAATCAACATAAGTCTGTTTTTGTGTTCATTAATCGTCATATTTGTCAATTTTTTTCATTTTAACATTTTATCGGGTTTTGCATCCTCTTAGCCGGTCACCATTGACATAAAAGACCTCATATTTACACATCACCACCACCACACTCTGTCACCAACAACACCATCTTCACCACGAAACCCCAGTAGCCCCCATCAGTACCATCTTCGACCCACCTTCTTCATTCTTTTTAAGAATTGTGTTTCTAGGTCAGATATATCATGAAGCTCTATTTAGGACTTGTATTTATATGATATCTTTATGGTTGTAGTAATGATATTTATTAAAGAGAATAAAAAAAATCCCAAAAATTAATATATAAATTATTATTATTGTGTTTTTTAATAAAAAAAAAAGTAAGTTTTTTAGTGAAAGGGGTGTGGATGATATCTTTATTTTATGTTTTTAAATAAATAAATTTAAGTTTTCTTCAAATAAATATAAGTTTTCTTAAAAATGAAAATCCCCATAAAAGTCCTTAAACTTTAACTTTATTAACGAAAAAGTCATCCATGATTTTTTTTATTTGCAATTTAACCCTTAAAACCAACACTAACCGGGTACAAGGGTTGTTTTGCAAGTGTTACCGGTTTCAATGGTTAAACTGCAAAAAAAAAAATTCTAAAAAATAAGGGGTGATTTTTTTGTCAATAGAGCCAAAATATAAAGATTTTTTTGCAGATTTCCTATAAATACGATTATAAATAAGTAATTGTCAATTTCCACATGGTTTTAAGGCTATAGGGAGTAGTAACATGTGCTAAAACATTATCACATCATATTTTTATGGACACCTAAGCATAGTATGATGATATGAAATGGTGATGTGTTTAGAAGGTAAACAACTTTTTTTCTTAAATCAAATAAATGTTTATTTAACTATTTAAATAAAATAAACTTTAAAAGGGTACAAGTTACTAAGTGCAACATTATGGTTAATGTTGGAATTCTTCCTTCGAGATGCTCTTGTTTTATTAGGTAAGTTGTGCGTTGGTAGGGCCTGTTCGATTTATTTAAAAATGTGGTTATTGCTTTAAGTTGGGAAGATTTTTGGTTGGATTGCTTGTTGATGTGGGGTTGAAAGAACAAGTTGAAACTCCTGGGGTCTTGTCGCTATGGGTTGTAGTCATATAGTGGAACTCTTGAAGTTGATTGAAGAATTCAGATTCTCTTATGCCCAGTAATGTCAGGCGTGGAAGTTAAGAACCAAATAGTAAAGTTTTTGGGTCAGATTGGAAATTCGAAAGGTTATGAAGTTGTCAGAGTTTAGTTGAATCCAAGTGGGGGAGAATCGCTTGGGGTTAATGGAAATATTTCCAAGCACGGGTCAACCCAGAGTTTCATATCCAAGGACAAGAGAATATCTAGTTCTGGTTGTTGTATGAATAGAAGCTTATACCAGGAATAATGTTCAACAATTAGTTGCAATCAGGGAAGTAGATGTTGAGGAGTCAAAGTTATCTCGTCTAAAGACGTGAAGCATCTGAAGCGACACATTTTGGGTCAGTGTCTAGGTTTAGGTTGAGGGTTGTGTGAGGGCATCTCTTCCTGTTCTTGTCTGATTAAGGCTTTAGGGTTCGAAGCACAACCCAAACACCTGATAGGGTCTAGCAGGCTAGGGGTTCGGGTCGTGTTGATTTTAGATGAGTATTCTTGTGGATTGTTGACAAGACCATAGGGTGGGCCCGCGATAATTGCAAGAGTGTTGTAAGACTATGATTTTCGACGTAGCATTCACTTGGTTGAGATAGACCGTTGCAGGGGTATTAGTAAGACTGTAGGAGGGGCACAACATGCACATGGTTGAAATAGACCGTTGGCTGATTTGGGTCGGGTGTAATGTAAGACTATGATTTTGCCTGTAGCATTCACTTAGGGTGACACAAACTTGTTGTCGTTCGTGTGCTAGTTGGTTAGTCGTTCTTTGTTTGGACTTGAGGGTTGTTAGAGCCATGTTGAAGTATAGTCTAGGATAGCCTTTGTCGGTCAGAATCTTGGTTGGAGTCTCGTTGTACGACTGTGTGAGAGGTTGTCAGCTTCAACGGTCGGTCACAGATTATGTATTCCAGTTTATTAGTGTAGCTTCAATTGGTGGGGCTCATGTTTGGATTCACCTTTGTATTCGAGTGCAAGGTTGTCGACATCGGAGGATGGTTATGGAGTTTGTTTTCCAGTTATCAATAAGACGATGCAGGGTCAGCGATGTTTTGGTCAACTCAGATTGTGGATTGTGGTCAAAATGGTTGCGGTTGGAGTGGTTCTGTCCGTATGGAAGTCGAGCATAGTATAGAGTTTTCAGATTTCATACAAAGTAGTTATTCTTTCTCTTTGTAGGTTAATTTTGGTATGTCGGTGTTCGTTTCTTTGTTGGGTCACATGATTTCTACTAAGTTTTTGTTGGGTAGCGGTGTCGGAAGGTGATCGTCTATTTGAGGTGATTTTTCAGTGTTGTATTGGATTCTGGTAGTTCAAGCGGCGCCGACTCGTGTTGTAATAGTAAGTTGTAAGGACAAATTTCGAGGATGAAATCTAATTTAAGTGGGGGAGAGTTGTAACACCTATTTTTTAGAATGGTTTAACTAAAAACTTAACGAGATCAAAGATGGATTTTTTGGGAAAAAATCTACACCGTGACATGGCGCAAGGATTCCCATGATGTGGCATGGCTTAAATGAGCGTGTCCTTCTGATGAGCCCCACAATGTGGCAAGAGAAAGGCCATAACGTGGCGTCTGTTTCAGAGCAAGCCCATAATTTTAGGGTTTCTCCCATATTTAAGCACCATCTCCTAAGGATTAGGGCATCCTCTTCAGCCTCCAACCCTCTAAAATCGAAACCCTAGCTTACCTTGGAAGTTTTGGCTCATTTTGGTGTTCTTGGTGGACTTGGATAGAAAAAGAAGAAGTTTTGGTGCAAGAATCAAGCAAACAACTCCTCCCCATCTTTGAGGTCATATTATCGACCATTTCTAAGGCTTCAAGATCCAACATTTTTTATTCCTTCTTAGTAGATCTAGGGTTATTTTGCTTATTTGGGTCCTTTGATGAGTTTTGAATGATCCAATGAGATAAAGTTTGCAACTTTATGGCTCATCTAGGTCCCTTAAGCCTTATATCTTGTAGATCTAGGTTTTGATTGAGATTTGTGGATCTTGTTTGGAATTTTAGGTTAGTTCTCTTCATTATGACCTAGTTGAGTGGAGGACATGCATGGGTCATGCATGTCTATAAATTTGACATTTTAATGAACCACTAGGATCCCTATAAGCCTTCGGGAAAGTTTAAGCTAAGGGCTTAGCGGATTAAGAGCTTATGCAAATAAGTTGTCTTCAGACAGTGCCCACAACGTGGCCATTTGGGTGCCACGACGTGGTGGATCAAGGTTCCGCAATTGCTTTGTCTGGAGTTAGCCATGACGTGGTGACATGTATACCACGGTGTAAAGATTGGATTATCCGCGACTAGGTTGTTTGTAATTGGAGTTTTGGATTGGGACTGAGTTCGTTATCCACGATGTGGAAGTCAGCTGATGATGATTTTGACTGTTGGCTTTGACCTTGACCGTTGACATTTTGACATGGGTTGAATTTTGGTCAAATTTCTAGTTTTAGAAGGTAGACTTAGGGTTTACCTTGTATGGTTTATTAGGAGGTGTGTAGCACCCACTTTTTGTCGGTGTGAGCTGATTGTTGTGGATTATGTCTGTGAGGTGAGTCTTCTCACTATACTATGTAGGATACTAGTGGTATTTGTGATACTTGAATGGAAGACCTGGATGTATCCCCTGGCATATATATGAAAGACCAGGATCTGGCCCCTGGCAATTGTATGAAAGACCAGAATCTGACCCTTGGCAATTGTATGTAAGAC